TTTGTTGCAATGGTGAATGGTATTGTTTCCTTAATTTCTCTTTCTGTTTTCTCATTGTTAGTGTATAGGAATGCAAGAGATTTCAGTGTGTTAGTTTTATATCCTGCAACTTTACTATATTCGTTGATTAGCTCTAGTAATTTTCTGGTAGAGTCTTTAGGGTTTTCTATGTAGAGGATCATGTCATCTGCAAACAGCGAGAGTTTCACTTCCTCTTTTCCTATCTGGATTCCTTTTACTTCTTTTTCTGCCCTGATTGCTGTGGCCAACACTTCCAAAACTATGTTAAATAGGAGTGGTGAGAGTGGGCACCCTTGTCTTGTTCCGCTTTGCTCATTTTTAAATTATGGACCTTTGGGGTTGAGTTTTAAGAGTTCTTTATATATTCTGGGTACTAAACCCTTATCAGATACATAATTTGTAAATATTTTCTCCCATTCTATAGGTTGCCTTTCCGCTTTCTTGATAATGTCCTTTGATACACAGAAGTTTAAAATTTATATGAAGTCTTGTATGCTGTAACTTTGCTGAATTCATTTATTAGCTATAGCTTGTTTTTTTGGTAGATTCTTTGGTGTTGTCTATGTATAAACCCATGTCATCTAAACATAGCTTTACTTCTTCCTTTCCAATTTGGATGCCTTTTATTTTTCTTGTTCAGTTACTGTCTAGGACTTCGGTCTTATGTAGAATAGCAGTAGTAAAAGTATGAATCCTTTTTTGTTTGTTTGTTTCTGAGTTTAAGGGGAAAGATTTCAGTCTTTCGCTATTGAGTATGATACTAGCTGTGGATTTTTCATAGGTGCCCTTTACTATGTTAATGGAGTTATTTTCTATTCCTGTTTTTTGGGATATTTGTCATGAAAAGATATTGAATTTTGTCAAATGACTTTTCTGCATCTATTGAGATGATCATGTAGTTTTATGCCTTTATTCTATTAATGTGGTGTACTACACTGACTGATTTTCTTATGTGGAACTATTGTTGTGTTTCTGGGATAAACCCCCATGGTCATGGTGTATATAATCTTTTAAATGTGCTGTCGAAATTCAGTTTACTTCTGTCTTGTTGAGAATGTTTGTAACCATATTCAAAAAGGATATTAATCTTTTGGTATTTTTATTTATCTTGTGGCACCTTTGTCTGCCGTCCACTTAATTTTAAATCTACACTTAAGAAGAATGAGCCAATCCTGCAATTCTGTGTTGACCATAGTAGTGCAAGACCAAGAATACTATCAGAAGAAATTTGAACCTTTTCTGAGAAGAAAAATCCATGGTTTATTTTCAGTGATATAAATTTGAAAGAGATTACCTTGTTCCTAAATTATAGTTGGCACTGAAAACTATGTTTTGCTAGGGCTCCATGATGGCTGGTTATTAGTGGAACACCGATTTGACTTTACAGCTCCCTAGGGTAGAGGGAACGTCAGGGTCCTGAGAAGGTAATAGGGTGGGCAACACAGGAGACAGGAAGTTGCTTAATAAGGAGTAAGTTTTCCATGACTTCCCTTTGTTTCCATCCACTTTCCAATTAGAGGAAAAAAGTTACCTTTATTTTCTGTTATTTTTTATTTCTCCAATAATGTATTTCTCTACATGACTATCTTCTTATTATGCTTCTTAGACATTTAGAAGCATGGGGTTAACAGCAAAAACTCACTGCCTTGTTATGTTTGCACTGATAGTTCAAGGATATTTTAACACTGACCAGCATCTATTCCTAATCTTCATTCAAAATGTTATTTTCCATCCAGTGTAGAGGGGAAATGGGCAGTGAGGAACAACTGCATGGGTTACACAGCAAGCTAGTAATAGAGTGAAGGTTGCAACAATTGTGCTCTTACCTACTTCCTTCTTCCTGTTTAGCCACCTTTTGCCAATCTTATGTATTTACCAAAGTAAAAGTCTGATAAGGGCAAGAATGCCAGGGTTTGGTCAAGCCTAGGAACAGTCTGTTGCAAAACAGGGAACCCATTTTGCTCTTACTGGCTATGGCGGAAACCCTGTGTTAACAGCTACTGAGCTTTTCCCTTAGCTATTTGGTGTAGTCTCACTCATATGCTGTCATGTATCTTGGACATAGACAAAGCAGTGTCAGAACTAAAACTGCACAATGGCTAGAAAAGGAGGTATGAGCATATTTGATAGAAAGAAGAAAAACCAGTCATTTGGCATTCTTCCTGTTAGCTTCTTTTCCCCTGGATGAAGGTCTGGTGTGTTGTAGCAGTTTTGTGAGTGCATGCTAAGTTGCTTCAGTTGTGTCTGACTCTAGTGACCCTATGGACTGTAGCCTGCCAGGCTCCTCTGTATATGGGATTCTCCAGGCAAGAACACTGGAGTGGATTGCCATGCCTTCTTCCAGGGAATCTTCCTGAACCAGGGATCCAACTCTCAGCTCATGTTTTCTGCATTGGCAGTTGGGTTCTTTACCACTAGCACCACCTGGGAAGCCAGTAGCAGTTTTGTAAGACTGACCAAATGATTAAGTACTTTCACGGTCTAAATTGTACTAATTAAGTGCAAGTGGATGGCAGTGCTGGCTTGTTCCTTCAGCTTCACATTTTTAACATGCCTAGTGTCCTTGAAAGCAAGCTGTGAGACAGAGCTGTCATAAAAGCCCACTGTCTCTATAGTCCTAGGAGTAGATGGAAGGAAGACTGGGAAGAAAGGGTGGTTGTTGCCAGACATGTAAACTGCAGAGCTGCAAGCCCAGGCACCTCCCTGACACTTTCACAAAGCTCTCTCTGAATTTCTAGGGAGACGAAACTACCAGCCTTGCCTCTGAAGTGAGTCATCTGCTGGGGCTTTTCTTGGAGTTTGGGAACTGCAGGTGGGACCTAGAGACAGAGCTTCTAGGACAGGAGACTTGGCCATCCCAGGATCAGTTGCCCCTGGAAGTAGAGGAGTCCGGCTGATCTTGTGCCTGTGGAAGGATGACTGGCTAGGGTACCACAAGGATATTTATTTTTTCAAAAATTTAATTTATCTATTTTTGGTTATGCTGGGTCTTCATCGGTGTGAGTACTTTCTCTAGTTGTGGTGAGCGGGAGCTACTCTTCATTTTAATGTGCTGGCTTCTCTTGCTGTGGAACATGGGCTCTAGAGCACGTGGGCTTCAGTAGTTGCAGTGCGTTGACTCAGTAATTGCAGCACCTGGGCTCTAGAGCACAGGCTCAATGTTTGTGGCACACGGCCTTAACTGCTCTGAGGAATGTGGAATCAAACTCATATCTCCTGCATTGGCAGGCAGATTCTTCATGGCTAAGCCACCAGGGAAGCCACTGGGAAAGCCCTCACAAAGATATTTCTAAGTTATTAGGTTGAGCCATAAGAAATTGTCAATACTGAACCAGTTTGACCTTTGAAAATGGTGATCTCAGTTCAGCCTAAACTTTTAATAAGGAGAAAGCAAGCAAGAAACTGAAGCCCAAAGAATCCATTGCCTACAGTAGATTCAACTCAATCTACTGGAAGCAGAATATATTTTATAGAACATTAGTTTCTCAATTTACTTTTATTCTTGTCTAAAGTTCTGTTATGGTTTGAATTGTGTCCCCTGCCCCTAAAAAGGTATGGTGAAGTCCTAACCCTCCTAGTACCTCATAATGTGACCTTATTTGGAAATATGGTCTTTATAGAGGTAATCAAGTTAAAACTAGGTTGTTAAGGTAGACCCTACCAATATGACTGGTATCCATAAAAAGGGGAAACATGGACAGAGGGAAAATGATACAAAGACACACATGAGAATGCCATTTGAAGGTGGAGTGATGCATCTACAAGCCAAAGGATGCATGAGGCAATCAGAAGCTAGGAGAAAGCATGGAATAGTCCCTTCCTTATAGTCCCTTCCTTAGACCTTCAGAGGGAGCACAGCCTTGCTGATACCTTGATTTTGGATTTATAGTCTCCAGACCCATGAGACAATGAGTTTCTGTTGTTCTAAGCCACCTAGTGTGTGGTACTTCATGATGGCAGCCCTAATGCTATGGTCTGAATGTTTGGGTCGCCCCATCCTGGGCTGGCCCAATTCATATGTTGAAGTCCTAATGCCCAATATGATGGTATCAGTAGGCAGGGCTTTTGGGAAGTGCTTAAGGTGAAGCCTTCAAGAATGTGATTAGTGTCCTTATAAAAAAGATCCAGAGAGATCTCCAGCTCCTTCCACCATGTAAGGACACAGTGAGAAGGTACCAGATACGAACTAATAAGTGGGCCCACATCAGAAGGTGAACACACTGGCATCCTGATCTGGGGACTTTCCATTTTAACCCATTGTAACTGTGAGCAATAAGTTTATGTTTTTCACAAGCTACTTGGCCTGTGGTATTTTGTTATAAAAGTCCAAATGGATTAAGACACTTAGGAAATGAATACAGGCTCCTTCCAGTGATGATAAACCATGCTACTGGTAAGAGACAATAACACAGTCTATGTTAAAATGGTACAGTAGTTTAATCCCTAGGCTCCAAGACAACAGAGGTGAAGGGTCTGATTCTATAGAAACTGGTTGTGTTTCCTACTGTTGCCTAGAGGATTTGTTTAGATACAACGAAGCTAGTTTTGTAATTTAAAATGCATACACCACACACACACACAGACATGTACCCACATATTTATTCCTTTCTACAGTTTTCTGGCATTTCCAAGTTTGGGGTAAAAGTTTCAGTATGAATTTTTCCTCCAGTCTGCAATGGATCAGACATGACGCCTGAGCAACCTTAAGGAGCCCATTCAGATTTTAGGAGAACCAGACACTCATCCTAAGGAGACAGAAAGAATTGCTGATACTCTCACAGAGAGTGTCTCTGTATTAAAAAACTTTGGAAGGTGGAAATGGAGCTCCTGGAATTGAATTCAAAAGACTTATTTAGGAAGGTCCGTGTTAGCAGGTTTTGCCTCATGGGGATTCAACAGTGGATGACAAGAGCAGTGCCTTACGCAGATGGGTATGGAATTCACCAGAAGCTCTTTTATGTTAAAAGAAGCTCTGTTCACTAGAAGCTCTTTTTTTCAGGATCCAGCTTTATAAATAAACCTAAACAAAATAGAAGGAGATGATTATAAGTCAATTGACTTTAACCTGATGAAATGTCTCTAATAGAAATATATATATATTTAATATATAATAATAATAATATATATATATATATAATATATATATAAATACACACAAAGAAAAGCACTTTGATTCATATTGGTACTCTTAGGATATCTGTGTACTCTTATTTTTCAGCTAAATTAAGAATCAACTTCTGACTATCACAATACTGTATTAGCATCTCCTGGGTAACCAAGTCGTCTACCTCTTGGTCATTTCATGGTTCTTTACCACTTCCATTAGAGATAGTCAAAAAGGTGAAAGGAAGTGAAATTACAACTGAGTCATCTGGTACCTTTATGATACTGAAAGGTTGAGTGAGAAAGGAAGCACAAATCACAGCCTGGAATGGGGTTTAAATTAACTGTGGATTCAAATTATTCATGATCTTCCTCCTGCTTCTTTTATCCATCATTCCTGCAAAAGCTTACACTTAAGGGAAATATGAATTTCTTAAACAAGAACAAAAGCATTCTCTGTAAAGAAAAAAAATTTAATAAATGTGACTATATTTACATCAAAAATTTCTGTTCATAAAAAGATAACATAGCAAATAAAAGGCAACTTACATATTCTAGGAGATATGTGCAGCTTATACAGTCAACAAAAAGATTAGTTTAATAAAAATATAGATAAAAATTCCTATAAACCGATTAAAAAAGTGAGAAAAAACAATAAAAGAGGTTGAACAAATAGGAATTTTGCAGAATGGGAGACAAATATGATTAATAAATATATCAGGAAAATGCAACTTAAGGTCACACTGATATACCATTTTACAACCATTTGATTGGCAAAAACCAAGAAGCTTGATTTTATCAATTGCTGGAAAAGATAGGGATCAAGAGAATCTCTTCTGTTGCTGGTGGGAATGTAATTTGTACAGTTTGAGAAAATAATCTGTCATTCCTCTGTAAGGCTGAACACTCTTACACCCCACAACCCAGAAATTCCACTCCTAAGCATAGGCCAAGCTCTTGCCCATATATACCAGCAGAAGACATGAATAAGAATGTTCATAGTAGCCCCATTCATAACAGTCAGACTTCCACCATTAGAGGAGGAGATAAATTCGTTGCAGTACAGTCACACAATGGAATATTATACTGCAGTAAATGAGCAACCTACAGAAGCAACAACATGTGTGAACTTCAGTTATATGAAGCTGAGTGGGAAAAAAAAAAAAATCAAATCCCAGAAAAGCACATACAGTACAATCTCTTTTCTACAAAGTTCAAAAACAAACACCCAAACAATATATTACTTAGGCACACATATATTCTGAATAAAACTTTAAAAGATAAGGTATAAAGGAATGAAAACCACAAAATTCGAGCTCACAGTTACTTCTGAAGGAAAAATAGAAGGATGAGATGGGGAAAAGTAATTAAGTTGGGATATAATATTATTAAGATTCTGGTTCTTGTTTGATTGAAAATTTCAAGATGTTTGTTATTAAATTAGAAAAAATAAGTACATTAGTGAATGAGTAAGTTAAAGATTACCTTTCATGTAAATACTAATAATGACTGTATATATCCTACATCAAGGATTCTGACTAACCCAAACATGTGAATCTGAGCTCCATTAAAATAAAAAGAAAAAAAAACAAAAACAAAAAGTATTGGATATCTAAATTAACTTTTCTAAGTCTGAAGCTATTGAAGATGTAGTGTCCAGGACCCACCACTTGCAAAGGCCCTGTGAGAGCTGACAATATACAAAGTTACTGATTACAACAGTATTTGCAAGAGCAAAAGACAATATCCATGTCCATATCTCCACCTCTGATCCAGGACCATAGGGTTCATTCTCATTTGCACTTTCTCCATATCTGGACTCCTCTGAAGTGAGAAGCCTGGTTCCCAGCCTGTGCAGATGCCACCGTTTCCCTGTGGGCTCTGAAACCCATGCAGCTCCCCACGTGAACTCTTTCCTTCCCCTACTTAGACTCAGACATCCCGTGCTGGGCCACCGCCCTGGGCCGACACCCTTTACTCCACTCAGGCTCCTAGACAGGGATGGGCTGTTGTAGTCATCTCTCCCCTTGACCCTGCCCTCACCCCTGAGCCTACCACGCCCTACCCCCACTCTCCCTAATAGCTTTAGAAATATTTAAGAAGAAAGCAAGGGGTGAAATGGAAGGAAGAAGAAAAAGGGAAGAGAATGGGAAGAAGCTCTCTATTTTTTCTGCACTAATGATAGCATAAATACAGTCTCTGTCCTGTATCTTGTATTTTCCATTCAGAATATAGTAATGACATATAGCTCCATATCATACCAAAAGGGTTCCCTTATTCTTATTTGTTGTTTAATTGCTCAGTTGTGTCTGACTCTTTGTGACCCCATGGACTGTAGCCTTCCAGGTTTCTCTGTCCATGGGATTTCCCAAGCAAGAATGCTGGAGTTGGCTGCCATTTTCTTCCACAATAATTTTTATGGCACACACAATATAGTATATGGATGAACTGTAGTCTCTTTACCTAGTCTGCTATTGATAGATATCTATGTTTGGCCAATCTTTGACTAGGTCAAATAACACTGCATGAGTAGCACAAATACTAGAACTCTAGAGCAACCTTAGAGGCTTCCCAGGTGGCTCAGTGGTAAAAGATCTGCCTGCCAAGCAGGAGATGTGAGTTCAATCCCTGGGTCGGGAAGATCACCTGGAGAAGGAAACAGCAGCCTATTCCAGTATTCTTGCCTGGAGAATCCCATGGACAGAGGAGCCTGGCAGGGGGTCCATGGGGTCCCAATTGAGTCAGATAAGACTTAGCGACTAAACAACAACAGAGCAACTGTCCACATGTTGTAATGTTGCACACATGTTAGTACACCTTTGGAATAAAATCCTGAAAATGGGTCAAAAGGCACATGACTATAATTTTGAGAGATACTGGCCAACAATGAATAACAATAGCTTGTTCTCTGCATGACAGGGAATTAAGAATTTCTGGGCATGCATGGGTTAAAAAACCAAACCAAACCAAACCAACCCCACCCTCCCCAAACAAAAAAACCCCAAATAGCTGAGACCAAACTTAAAATAGAAAGTGGCAACTTCTTACCTGTTGCCTCTGAGTATACAGTCTTCTCATCAACACTTTGAACATTACAGGAAACAAACAATTTCCTCCCCTCAAGTTTATCAAGTTGGCTATTTATCACAACAACAGAACAAAGAGGGACAGGTCTGCAGAACAAAAAAGGAAAAAAAATCAGTTTTTATCAGATTTATGTAACACTGAGAGGTGATCAAGTGCATGACAGGGGTGGAAATTTCTGACACTTGGGTATCAGTGGGTACTGACTGTCTTAGATAAACTGCTCCTAAAGTGGGGCTGACATTACCAGCCGCTCACACTCCCTTGCTCCCAAGCACAACTGTGCTCAGGTGGCTCCTGGGCATCCAGTCCCAGCCTGCTGTTGTGGGTTATGTTCAAAGAGATCACCAGGGATTCCATCTCTGTGATGGCAGGAACTGTCCCATCTGAAGGGAGCTGAAATCCTTTAAAGAAATGAAAATAGGACCATGGAATGGTCCTAGTCAGCTTCTCTCATTTTCTCTGTCATAATCAAAATTTCTCACCCAATCCGCTTTAGAGTAACTGTTACTAGAAAGACACTGAATAATAAATTGCTGGTATTAGCTTAATGTGCTAAGTCAGAGCTGTCCAACAGGACTGTAAGTGATGACAGAAATGATGAGCCACAGCTGAGCTGTCCAACATGGTTGCCAGAGATGGCTACTGAGCATTCAAAATATGGCTATTGTGAATGAGAAACTAAATCTTTAAATTAGTTTAGTTTCAATTAATTTATATTTAAATTTATATAGCTATATGTGTCTACTGGCTACAGTCAACTCTGGGAGTCTTAGAGATAAAGTGCTGTAGTGAAAAACGTTGTCTCTTTAAAGGTAAAATTTTAGTTGGTAGAAACACAAAGTAGAGAAGGGGGATGTGTTTTATGTTCCTATAGTACCATCATGTGGATGAAGGAACTACTGCATGTGGAAAGGAAATGAACACTCTAATTACCCTTCTGTCTAGTTTTTGCTCCCATTAGCTTCTCCTGAACTTCTTGATGAAAAAACTGAGCTTTGCCAATCCAGTATTTACTAAGACCTAGGGGACATTAGGTGTTCTTGCCTGTTCAGCATCTCCCTTTCCTACTAACATTGCTCCTTTTGTCTATCCATCTGTTCTACCTCTCACCACTCATCCACACACCAACACTCCCTTTTCTTTGGGGAATCAGTCCCATTTTTAACTCATGTATGTCAACTAGGGTTGACAGCTGACTCTTTTCCCCCACACTCCCTGACCATCCCCCCGCCCCCATAGTGACTGGTTGTGCATATGAGCATGAGCTGAGACTCTCAATCCTGGAACTTGTGCTGGAGCCCTTGGGGCTGGGTTCTTTTTCTGCTTGAGGCTTGCAAGATACAAGCCTGCCTGTTAGCTGTGGCACTAAATTGGGAAAGGCTACCCAAGGATAGAGAAGATCTAAAGGAAAGTGTGACTGAGACACAGGCACAGATTCCTGAATGCCTGCACCCAGACATACCTGTCTTCTCCACCATGCAAGCCAATATGTTCCTTTTTTCCTTGAGCTATTGTGAATTAAGAGGTCTGTCCCTTAGAATGAAAAGTTCCTTGTTTAATAAGAGAAAGTAAGAGAAAGGAGAAATAGAAAATAATATAACTTTATAGAATATAATTTTCTTAATGCAACTAATATTTAGGCACAAATAAGCTTGATTGGCATAAAAAACAGGCTTCATATCATTATATTTATCCAGTTTTATTAGACAACTTACTTAGATGTGTGTTAGAAGCAAAAAGAAAGATAATAGATGTACAAGCAAATTTTAAAAATAAAAGAGAAAACACACACACAATGGAGAGGCTTAAAAAGCTAAACGGTGAATCTGACAAATAGATCAAGAAAACAGAGCATAAATAAATAAAGCAGAAAAAAAAAAAAAGAAAAACATCTACGTCTGCTTTATTGACTATGCCAAAGCCTTTGACTGTGTGGATCACAACAAACTGTGGAAAATTCTTAAAGAGATGGGAATGCCAGACCACCTGATTGGCCTCCTGAGAAATCTGTATGCAGGTCAGGAAGCAACAGTTAGAACTTGACATGGAGCAACAGACTGGTTCCAAATTGGGGAAGGAGTACTTCAAGGCTGTATACTGTCACCCTGCTTATTTAACTTATATGCAGAGTACATCATGTGAAATGCTGGGCTGGATGAAGCACAGGCTGAAATCAAGATTGCTGCGAGAAATAGCAAAAACCTCAGATATGCAGATGACACCACCCTTATGGCAGAAAGCGAAGAAGAAGTAAAGTGCCTCTTGATGAAAGTGAAAGAGGAGAGTAAAAACTTGACTTAAAACTCAACATTCAGAAAACTAAGATCATGGCATCTGGTCCTATCACTTCATGGCAAACAGATGGGGAAACAATGGAAACAGTGACAGACTTAATCTTTTGGGCTCCAAAATCACTGCAGATGGTGACTGCAGTCATGAAATTAAAAGATGCTTACTCCTTGGAAGAAAAGTGTATGACCAACCTAGACAGCATATTAAAAAGCAGAGACATTACTTTGCCAACAAAGGTCCATCTAGTCAAGCCTATGGTTTTTCTGGCAGTCATGTATGGATGTGAGAGTTGGACTATAAAGAAAGCTGAGTGCCAAAGAATTGATGCTTTTCAACTGTGGTATTGGAGAAGACTCTTGACAGTCCCTTGGACTGCAAGGAGATCCAACCAGTCCAACCTAAAGGAAATCAGTCCTGAATATTCATTGGAAGGACTCATGTTGAAGCCGAAACTCCAATACTTTGGCTACCTGATGCAAAGAATTGACTTATTTGAAAAGACCCTGATACTGGGAAAGACTGAAGGCAGGAGGCGAAGAGGATGAGAGGATGAGACGGTTGGAAGGTATCATCGACTCAATGGACATGAGTTTGAGTAAACTCTGGGAGATGGTGATGGACAGGGAGGCCTGGCATGCTGCAGTCTATGGGGTTGCAAAGAGTTGGACACCACTGAGCGACTGAACTGAACTTAACTGAAAGGGGAAAAGAACAGTAGAAAAAGCAAACAAAGGAATAAATGTAGAAAAATAGTTATAGGTTTAAAAAATGAAAAATTGAAATTAGAAAAAGAGAAAAGAAAAAAAAAAAAAAAAGGAAAACTCCCCAGAACTGCAAAAGCCCAATGTAGAGGCAGAGGTTTAAAACAACAATAAAAAATGTGACTGAGGGGGAAAAAAAAGCTCAGAAGCTTAATTAGATTTCATAATGCCAATAAAATTGACAACTGCAAGAGGGAGAAAAAAAAAAGGAAAAAAAATCCAAAACAATCTACAGAACAAGTCAAAACATAAGAATAATAAATGTTTTTCTTGAGTCATTGGTATCAAGAGTTCTTTCCCCCTCTGGGAGTCACAGTCCGCCTTACCTCCCTAGGATGCCCTCCAACACTGTGCTGATCTCTGGACCTGCTATGGGGGCAGCTCAGATTCTAATCTGGTCCTACTCCTGTGTGTTCTCGCCTCCAATGTTTACAGTTGTCAGAAATAGTGCATTTTCTTTTGTGGGAGCTCTCAGTGTCTTTTTATATACTCCATAGACACAGAGTCTGACTAGTTGATTGTGTGGATTTAATCTGCAGCTTGTAGAGCTGGTGGGAAGGTTTTGGGTCTTCTTCTGTAGCCACACTGCCTCTGGGTTTCAACTGTGGTTTTATTTCCACCTCTACATTTGGGTCATCCACTGGGGTTTGCTCCTGAGGCTGCCCTGGAGGACTTGGGTTTGCCCCTGTGAGGGCCAGGTGTGAAGATGGTGCAGCTGCTTGGGTCACAGGGGTTCTGGCAGCACCAGGCACTCACGGGAGTTGGTGGCTAGGGCAGATGGAAATGTAGTGCTCTAGAAGGGTATGGCAACCAGTATTGGCCAATATGCCCCAGTATTCTTGGTTGGAGAACCCCCCTGACAGAGAAGCCTGGTAGGCCACAGTCCACAGGGTCGCAAAGTGTTGGACAGGACCGAAGCAACCCTGTGCACACAGATGCAAGACTTTTTTTGTCTGTGGCAGCTCTGCCCCAGTGAGAGTTGAGTGTGAAGGTGGGGCAGCTGCTTGGCTTGCGGGGACCCTGGCAGCGCCAAGTGTGCAGGGACATGAACTGCCTCCACCACAGGAGTTACGGCACTCTCAAAGTCTTTTTTCGAGCCTCTTGTAGCTGGCGATCAGAAGGCCTCTTTGGCCAGTCTTTCTCTGTAGCTGCACCCATTCAGGCACTTAGAGTGCTTGCTCCCTTGCCTGGGGCCCTTCTCTGTTGTTTAGCACGTCAGGCACATAGAGGGGCGCCCCTGGCTGGGGTCCTACTCTGTAGTTTGGCACATCAGTCACTTAAAGGAGCACCGTGGGTGGGGTTCTACTCTGTAGTTCAGTGCAACAGGCGTTTGATGGGCCAGCCTCTCTGTTGTTCAGCTGCCAATGCTGGCGTACGGGGAGAGAGAGGCTATAGTGATGGCTGCTACGCGTGACTCAGCAGTATCGCCTTGCTTCCATGGCTGCCCTTCTTTCCTCCACAGGTATTTCCCACCACAGTCTCCTTCCTCACCTCACCTTGATCTGTCTCTCCACAGTCAACAGCAGCCCTTGCCCTGGGATTGCTCCACAACCCCTCAACTCCAGCTCTCAGCCTCTGTGCCTTCCAGGGAACCTGCATCCCTGTCTGGGGTATGTATGGCTGCGGCAAGGACTGTCTGATTCTCATTCCATTTAGGCTGCCACAAATCAGCTCTCTTACTCTCAGCCTTAAATGTTTCTCCTCTGACTCAGATAATTGCTCCAATGTGGGGGTCAGACCCCTGCCTCAGTTCTGCCACCCACCGAGGGCAGGTTCAGTCCTACTAACATTCCTGTTTTTCCCCCTCGTTCCTTTATCCTACCAGGTTTTGCGTGGTTCTATATATTCTTTTCCGCTGGTCAAGTACTCCCATCTGCTCTCAGCTGGTGTTCTGCATGCACTTCTGTGTCTGAAGGTGTATTCCTAATGTATCCGTGGAGAGAGATGTACTCCACGTCCACCTGCTCCTCCACCATCTTGTTTTCTCCTCAATGACATTTTTTGTAGAAAAAGAAAAATCCACCTAAAGTTTACATGAATCTCAAGGGACTCCTTGAGATTCAAAGATTCAAAGAGCCAAAACAATCTTGAAAAAGAAGGAAAAAGTTGGAAATCTCACACTTCTTGATTTCAAAACACATTACAAAACTACAATAATCAAGACAGTGTGGTACTGGCTAAAGACAGACTATATAGATCAATGGAATAGAATAGAAAGCCTAGAAATAAACCCTCACATATATGGTCAAATGATTTTCTACAAGTGACCAAAACCACTCAATGTGGAAAGGACAGTCTCTTAAAAAAATGGTGCTGGGAAAACTGGATATCCACAAATAGAAGAATGAAGTTGGACTCTTACCTTAAACCACATATAAAAAAAATAATGTGAAAAGGACTGAAGACCTATATGAAAGACCTAAAGTTATAAAACTACTAGAAGAAAACATTGGGGGAAAGCTTCATGATGTTGGTTCAGCAATGATTTCTTGGATATGACACGAAAGACAGAGACAACAAAATAAAAAAAAAAGGGAATACATCAAACTTAAAAAAAATTCTGTGCAAATGGGAATGTGCATGTGTGCTAAGTCACTTTAGTTGTGTCCAACTCTTTGTAACCCTATGGACCGCAGCCTGCCAGGCTCCTCTGTCCATGGGATTCTCTAGGCGTGAATACCGGAGTGAGTTGCCATGCCCTCCTCCAGGGGATCTTCCCAATCCAGGGACTGAACCTATGTCTTTTATGTCTCCTGAATTGGCAGACAGGTTCTTTACCACTAGTGCCACCTGGGAAATGGAAGGTTAAGTGTAGATGAAATAATAAGATTTTGTAATCACTGAGATAATTTGATAATTAGAAGAAACTAATTTGATGTTTAGTTAAATCCAATTATGTTTTTAATTAGTGTTTTAGTATTTAAAATAATTTATATTGTATTATTTATGTGTGGATTTATTAATACGTCTATAGTTGTAGACTTTCAGGTGGTCCAGTGGTTAAGAATCTACCTGCCAAGGCATAGGACATGGGTTGGATACCTGGTCTGGGGAGATTCCACATGTCCCCAGGGCAGCTAAGCTCATAAGCCACAACTGAAGCCTGTGTGTCCCAGAGCCCATGCTGTGCAACAAGAGAAGCCATTGCAATGATAGGCTTGCATATTGCAACTAAAGAGTAGCTCCCTGCTTGCTGCAACAAGAGAAAGCCCTCGTGCAGCAACCAAGACAAAAAATAAATAAAATTTAAAACAATGTCTGTAGTTGTGTTAGTTGATGACACTGAATTTAATTGGTGTGACAGTTAAGGAACCACTTTCCCAATCTCCTTTAATGCTAATGAGATTAAATGGGTGTGTTGTGCAGTATTTTCAGGAAGTCTCTTTGAAAGAGAGAAGACAGCTCTATCCCTATTCCTCAATCCTGCTGTGCAGGACATGTGATGACAGCTCCTATTGGCACTCTGAACTGTGAAAAGATGAGCTGGGAAGAGCCTGCAACTCTGGAGCTGCCATACTAGATTTCTTTCACATAAGTTTCTATCTTGTTTAAGTTATTTTTATTTTCAAGTTACTCTTACTGGCAGCTGGGGAGGAGGAAGTTAAAGCAGCTGGCCTCTAATTTTTTGGTGTGTGTGTGTGTGTGTGTGTGTGTGTGTGTGTTGTGGGAAGCAAAGAGAAACACTCCCAGGAGGCAAATGGCCCTGTATGTGTGTGTGTGTGTCTTGTGGGAAGCAAAGAGAAACACTCCCAGGAAGCAAGTGACTCTGACTAATTTTTTCTCACTGGGCCTGCAGGTAATTAGACCAGGAGTTGGCAAAGTATGTCTCATTGGCCAGCTACCTGTTTTAAAAATAAAATTTTATTGTAACACAGCTATACCCATTTATTTATGTATTATTTGTGGTTGCTTTTGTGCTATGCTGGCAGAGTTGAGTAGTTGCAGAGACTGTATGGCTCATAAAACATAAAAGATTTGTAGAAAAAGTTATGCTGACCCCTGAAATACACTAATGATACATGCTAGGGGGAAGAGTCTTTTTCTATAGAATGCCCTGAGTAGGACATACCTGGATAAGTATTACTTAAAGTAAATAAACCCATAATCTATGAAGCATGGCTCCCTGATGACTACCAGAGAAGCCATCCAACTCTCTGGAGTATAATATGGAGATGTTTTGTTACCCACATGTTTCCTACTGTGTGAAATAATAACCCTCAGAAACTTGTTTGGAGATCTTCTTTACTAACCTCTGTTTTTAAACTCTGTTCTGCCCTATTGGTCTCCTTCTCTATGCTCATGCCAATATCCATAATATTTGATTGACTCTAGAGGTATAGCTGCATAATTGAAGAATTAAATAAGATCATGCTGAGCTTTGTTTTTGATGGATACCAAACTTTTCTTGCTGCCCTTTTATTTCTTTGTGTAATGTTATATAAAACTTATGTTTTGTTATGTAGTGGTATTTTGTGCTTCACTCAGATTCCTTTCAATCCTTTTTCCCCTTTGCTTTTTGGATACTTTTCTTAGAGCCTGCTTTGCTCAAAGACTGTGAGAGAGAAGTACTTGGGAATTTATGGTCCCAGGGTAGTTCTTTTCTTATGACGAATGTGTGAGAGAATATGAAGACTCCAGCTCCCTTGCCTGAGGTAGGTACAATCCCAAGGTACACATTTCACTCTGGAATTCTTTGCATGTTCAGGATGAAGGTACCCTTTGCAGGACGGAGAGCCTAACCTTGGGTGACTTCCTTCCCTGTCCTTCTCCCATGCCGTAGCTAGTTTCCTCTGGGAGTACTTTCTCTCTTGCACAGAAATCCTTTTCTCCGGGTCTGCTGCTGGGGAATCCAACTTATGACACCTAAGTAGTAAAGAATACCCATGAATTTACCTTTTAAAATTGATGTTGAGATTTGCAGTCATGATAGCTTTGCCAGGTACAGCTGCACACAAAGCAAGAGCAGTATCTATTATTGCTGCAATGGCACCTCCATGAACGAATCTAGGTACAACAGGAGGAAATGAGAAAGATATTCAGAAGTTCTGAAAACAGCCCCTTCAGAGACAAAAATTATCCAAGTATCCCATATAGTATATTTCTGAAAGTTCCACTTATTTAATAGTTCACGTTCAAGGTACTAAATATCAAATTATATTCATGTTCTTCTCACCTTTCTTTTGTTCATAGCATAATACTGTAGTATTTGTAACAAAGCTAGAAACTAATAATAATCAGGTCACAAGTAAGCAAAAAGTTAAAATGCAATTTAGGAAATTTATGTTTTTATCAAACTAACTATATACATCATTGTTTAAAAATTTAGGAAATGCAGACAAACAGAAGAAAAAGAAACTAAAGATTATAAGGCCATCTACCACTGTTGCTAGGTCAGAGAAGGGAACTCTCCTATACTGTTGGGGGGAATGCAAGTTGGTACAGCCACTATGGAGAACAATACAAAGGATCCTTAGAAAACTAAAAATAGAGTTACCATATGATCCAGCAATCCCACTCCTGGGCATATATCTAGATGAATGTGTGCTAAGTTGCTCAGTTGTGTCTGACTCTTTGTGACTCCATGGACTGTAGCCCACCAGGCTCCTCTATCCATGGGATTCTCCAGACAAGAATACTAGAGTGGGTTGCCATGCCCTCCTCCAGGGAATCTTCCCGACTCAGGGATCAAGCCCACATCTCCTGCATTGCAGGTGGATTCTTTACTGCTGAGGCACCTTCAGGGAAGCCTATAAGGCCATCTAGTGACAAACCATTATTAACATGTTAATGATACTCTCTAAAATTATATACTTGTACTATGTCCTATGCTTCTGTCATTCAATAATTTACATCCCTCTCTCTCTATGTATATATATATATCCACATCAGTATATATATATATATGTATCTATATTACCACTTGAATGCCTTTATTGTAGTCCATTGATACAAGGTGATACTGTAAGATACTCTCTTAGAGCCACATTTCCAGGCTATCATTCTTACCCAGGTACTCCTTGCAGATAAGGACCTCCTTGAAACAAGCAAACTGTCCTTTTCTCATCATTATTTTTGAATATCACATATTCAAAGCCCAGGCCATCCTCAAAGCCTCTGGTGAAGAGCCGGACCTGTGATAGTCGTCCTTCTTTCACAGGCTTTTGTTCTGCAGGGCAATCAGATGGATGGGCACATGAGAAACAGGTATGAGAAAAACACCATGTCAGAAACAAATATCTGTTCCCTGCAAGAATCACAGGTCAATGGATGATTGATTAAAATGCCAACCAGGTGCAAAATCGAAGGGGATGGGAGAGTTCCAGAGAAACAGAATAGAGGATATCTGCTCCTGTGGAATTGGTCTAAGTGAGGACACAGTAAAAAATAAATGAAATCAAAACAAAGTACTAACACATGGCAATCAGGAAATAACAGTGCATAAATGTGAAGGGAAAATGGAATAATATAGACAGAAATCCTTCTTCAAATAAGTGCAGTTTAAATGGGATTTAAAGGAAGTGAGGAATGTAATAGTAGAGAAGTTTTCCTTGCAGACATGAGTTTAACCTGAGCAGAAGATAGATATCATACTGAATCAGAAACTGAGTCAGTTCAACCCAATATTCAATGTGATTATGATGCTTGAGTCCCAGACTCAGGGTCAGAACCATTATGGTTCATGAAATCAAGTTAGTGGGTTATAAGGCTTTAAAAAGAAACTTTTAAAAAAAACACTCATGCTTCACATATATCCTGGATAAGTACTAGTGTACTCATTTAGATATGATTTTTCAGTTATACAACTGTGCACAAGTTGTGTGTTCTGGGTTGTGAGTCAAAATGTAGGTAACTTCAAAATAAAGACTAAAAACTACTGCTCTGAGGGAATGGCATATTTGTTCTTTCATATCCATTTTAAGATTTAATTCCCAAAACTCTCAGCTTTCTTTTATAGCTCATCATGATTTGCTATGTATAATGCTGTTTCCTTTATTGCTACAAAATTTACATTTACAAACTTGGAAAAGGATGTGAGATGAGAAGATCTGGGAGAAGTGGAGAGGACAAGAAAGGATGCCTGTTATTTATGCCTTGATCATTTGGTGGCAGACACCCTGTCTTTTGGATTCCATGTGCTCAACAACTGGCACATAGGCACACACTATGTTCATTCTTGCAGTTGAGAAATTGAATGATTTGAAGGGCCAAAGAAACTTAAAATTGAGAATCAGTCTCATGGCACAGTAGAAAGAGTCTTGTCCTAGGAGTTGGAAAATTTTTTGTGACTTAGCTTTGGCCTAGAATTCGCTCCTTTCTCCATTCTTTATCCATACAGCGAGTAGATAAATCTAAATGACCCCTAACGTTTGTCCCAACTCTGACATTCTGGGACTTCAGGATAAGATAAGCATCAAACCTTTCTAATTTTTTACTTAGGATTTCAAAACTTCTGGTCTAGATCACTAAACATTGAGGTTACCTCATAAAAATGGGGGGAAAAAAGATGGTGGGAAAGTCTGTTAGAAATGCAGGCTCTTGGGCTCTACTGCTGACCTACTGAAGCTGAACTTACAGTTTAACAAGATTCCCAGGTGCTTCATCTTCAAGTTAAAATCTGAGAAGAACTGGTCTTTTAAAAATACATGAACTGGTCTTTTAAAACTACTCCTCTGAAGGTAGCAGAGGAGTAACATGATCAAATTTGCATTCAGAACCTCTGCCAGTGGGATGCAAGGAGGCAGATAAGAAAGATAAGTGAGTGGCTTCCCTGGTGGCTCACTGGTAAAAGAATCCACCTGCCAATGCAGGGCACACAGGTTTGATCCCTGTTGGGGAAGATCCCACATGCCAAGGAGCAACTAAGCCCATGTGCCACAATTATTGAGCCTGTGATCGAGAGCCCAGGAACCACAACTACTGAGCCCACACTCAGCAACCAGTGAACCCTGTGGGCCATAGAGCCCATGCTCTGCAACAAGAGAAGCCTGCACACTGCAACAAAGAGTAGCCCCTGCTTGCTGCAACTAGAGAAAAGCCCACACCACAACTAGAGAAAGGCACACATAGCAACGAAGACCCAGCATAACCCAAACTGAATAAATAAATAAAAATGAAAAACAAGAGAGCCTATAAAAAAAAGATGAGTGAGAAGATCACTGAAACACTATCAAATCACAACCACCAAACTTTTCTGAGTCGAGGGGTGGTTTTCTCCAGCTGTGTGAGGGCTTGTGCAAATAAGAGGTGGCAGATGGCTGGATTCATCCAGGGCTGGGGTTATCCTGCACAAATATGCTAAAGAAGTTCAGATAAAAGAGGGCTATGGAGATAGTGAGAAAGTAGAGGACTCAATGAGATGACAGTCTTAATGAGGCCAAATAATTTTTTCTGTGGGGCCTTTGCCCAAGTAAGCTGGTAGGAAAAAGGTTGCAGTCAAAAAAAGGATGTCTAAATGTGTGAATTTGGAGTTTGTGCATTTTCTGAAGATGAAAAGGCTCAAGATGTCTAAGGGAGCATGTTGCTGGGGCTGTGCAAAAGAAAGTTTATGAGGAGGTAAACAAACCGAGTAGCCATGATGTGGATGCTGGGTTGCTGAGAATGGTGTATGAACTGGGTAGAGAGGAAGACAGTTAACCAGGTGCTGAAATGCTCAACATATGAGGGAAAGGTTGGTAGATGACAGCTACAAGAAGAGGAAGTTGAGAGTGATAAAGTCAGAAGGTATAAACCTCAAAAGGAATGGGGGTTTTCTAAGGAGCAGAGGAAGTAAAGATTTGAAAGCAAGTGTGGGTAGAAGACAGGACTTCAAACTCCTCCCTAGTCTGAGAGGGTCAAGTTTCAGGCAAGACAGGGTAGTTAGGTTGGATAAAGGATGAATAGAAACATGTGGGAACTGAACCCTGGAAACCACTGATATTTACGGAGTGGATAGAAGGAGAAAGGGAAAATTGCTCAGAGAGGTTTGTGAAAGCCAACAGACAAAACATTTCAAGGAGAATGAAATTAACAGCTAAATTAGCACAGTAAGGACTGAAAAATGCCCATCAAATTTGACAATTAGGTTGCTAGTGGCTTAAGTGAAGAAATTTCAGTAGAGCTATTAGCATAGAAGCCAGACTGCACTGGTTAAGTATACTTAATTAATTGTGTGATGTGTTCAATAGTCAGAATGGAATTAGTACTACAAACTGCTAAATTTCCCCCTCATTTGTAAAATAGTTAATTCTTATTTCTCTCTGTACTGGCAGTTCTATAAAGAAACTTATAAATTACCATTTTTCTTGGTAAAGGTGGTTTTATTTTTGCTTCATTCCTTCAGCAAATACTGAAGTACTCAGCAAATGCCATGAGGAAACTAAGGCAAAGAAAGGTAAAGTAACTCGCCTAAGGTAACACAGCTTTAAATTATGGAAGCGGAATTTGAACCCACTCACTAAATTTCAACCATTAGATTAGGAAGTTATCTTTTGGATGGCCTCTAAAGCCATGTGACTGAATAAGATTACCAACAGAGTATAGTGAAGCAAGGAGTACTAAGGTTGGAGACATGGGGCACCCTAACATCAAGTTTCAGGACAAGGAGTAACTGGCAAAAGAAACTAAAAGGCAAGAGGCAGTGAAGTAGAAGAATGTGGTGTCTTGGAAGCCAAGTTCAAGGAGAAAGGAGTTGTCAGCTATACCAAAAGCTAAGTGAGGTCACTGGTTAGCAACATGAAGGTCACCAGTGACAGTAGTTCTGATGGAGTGGTGTGAGTGAGAGTATGCCTGGAGAGGGTTTAAGAGAGACTAGGAAGAAAGAAACCGAGATGTGGCATGTCTGTACGCTGATGAGAAAGATGTAGCAGAGAAGGGATGTCCTTAAGTAGGCCAAAGGGATACAGTACACACATTGACAGCTTGACCTCTCCTAAGAGTATGGTTAGTTCATTCACCACAGGACAAAGCAGAACATCAGGCACAGATACAGGGAAGAAGCAGGGGTTGTTTGGAAATTCTCCTCTGATTGCTTTGATTTTCTATGAGACAGGAGACAAGAGCAGCTAAGAGTAAGGCTTGAGAAAAAGAAGGTAGGAAACAGTCATCCAGGAGAGCAGGAGAGTGAGTAGACAGGGAAAAATTAAATACGATGGCCAGGCAACATTAAGGGCCTACTTGGGGTCATTAAACAAACAAACAATCATCATGGGAATTCCCTGGCTGTCCAGTGGTTTGAGCTCTCTGCTTCCACTGCAGGTGGCATGGGTTCTAATCCTGGTTGGGAAACTAAGATACAGCAAGTCGCACAGCATGGCCAAAAGAAAAAAGAAAACAACCCCAAAACATCACAATCCCCAAATGCTTCCCTAAAGATATGTTTACATGATTAACAGGTAATGAGTAAAATGAGAAATATCTGTATAAACTTCATGAAGTCAGGAACCCTATCTGTGCACTCAGGCTTGTTTCAGGAATATGCTTTGTAGAGCACAGATCCTCAACAGAGTTGCTGAATGAACATACAAAGGGTGTTGCAAATAAGAAACCAAAAAGGCTGACTCTAAAAATAAAGAATGTATACATTTTAGGCATACACACACACACCCACACCCACACCCACACACACATCCAATATGCTACTGGAGATCAGTGGAGAAATAACTCCAGAAAGAATGAAGAGATGCAGCCAAAGCAAAAACAACACCCAGTTTTGGATGTGACTGGTGATGGAAGTAAAGTCCAGTTCTGTAAACAGCAATATTGCATAGGAACCTGGAATATTAGGTCCATGAATCAAGGCAAATTGGAAGTGGTCAAACAGGAGATGGTAAGAGTGAACGTTGACATTTTAGCAATCAGCGAACTAAAATGGACTGGAATGGGTGAATTTAACTCAGATGACCATTACATCTACTACTGTGGGCAAGAATCTCTTAGAAGAAATGGAATAGCCATCATAGTAAACAAAAGACTCCGAAATGCAGTACTCAGATGCAATCTCAAAAATGACAGAATGATCTCTGTTCATTTCCAAGGCAAACCATTCGATATCACAGTAATCCAAGTCTATGCCCCTACCAGTAATGCTGAAGAAGCTGAAGCTGAACAGTTCTGTGAAGAGCTACAAGGCCTTCTAGAACTAATACCCAAAAAAGACGTTCTTTTTATTATAGGGGACTGGGATGCAAAAGTAGGAAGTCAAGAAACACCTGGAGTGACAGGCAAATTTAGCCCTGGAGTACAGAATGAAGCAGGGCAAAGGCTAAGAGTTTTGCCAAGAGAACGCACTAGTCATAGCAAATACCCTCTTCCAACAACACAAGAGAAGACTCTACACATGGACATCACCAGATCGTCAACACCAAAATCAGATTGATTATATTCTTTGCAGACAAAGATGGAGAAGCTCTATAGAGTCAGCAAAAACAAGACCAGGAGCTGACTGTGGCTCAGATTATGAGCTCCTTATTGCCAAATTCAGACTTAAATTGAAGAAAGTAGGGAAAACCACTAGACCATTCAGGTATGACCTAAATCAAATCCCTTATGATTATACAGTGGAAGTGACAAATAGATTCAAGGGATTAGATCTGATAAGAGTGCCTGAAGAACTATGGACGGAGGTTTGTGACATTGTTCAGGAGGCAGTGATCAAGACCATTCCCAAGAAAAAGAAATGCAAAAAGGCAAAATGGTTGTCTGAGGAGGCCTTACAAATAGCTATGAAAAGAAGAGAAGCAAAAGGCAAAGGAGAAAAGGAAAGATACACCTATTTGAATGCAGAGTTCCAAAGAATAGTAAGGAGAGATAAGAAAGCCTTCCTCTGTGGTCAATGCAAAGAACTAGAGGAAAACAATAGAATGGGAAAGAATAGAGATCTCTTCAAGAAAATTAGAGATACCAAGGGAACTTGTCATGCAAAGAGGGGAACAATAAAGGAAAGACATGGTATGGACCTGACATAAGCAGAAATATTAAGAAGAGGTGGCAAGAATACACAGAACTATACAAAAAAGATCTTCATGACCCAGAAAATCACGATGGTGTGATTACTCAAGTAGGGCCAGACATCCTGGAATGTGAAGTCAAGTGGGCTTTAGGAAGCATCACTACGAACAAAGCTAGTGGAGGTGATGGAATTCCAGTTGAGCTTTTTCAAATCCTAAAAGATGATACTGTGAGAGTGCTGCACTCAATATGCCAGCAAATTTGGAAAACTAAGCAGTGGCCACAGGACTGGAAAAGGTCAGTTTCATTCCAATCCCAAAGAAAGGCAATGCCAAAGAATGCTCAAACTACTGCACAATTGCACTTATCTCACACGCTAGCAAGTAATACTCAAATTTCTCCAAGCCAGGCTTCAACAGTACGTGAACCCTGAACTTCCAGATGTTCAAGCTAGATTTAGAAAAGGCAAAGGAACCAAAGATCAAATTGCCAACATCCATTGCATCATTGAAAAAGCAAGAGAGTTCCAGAAAAACATCTACTTGTGCTTTATTGACTGTGCCGAAGTCTTTGACTGTGTGGATCACAACAAACTGTGGAAAATTCTGAAAGAGATGGGAATACCAGACCTGACCTGCCTCCTGAGAAATCTGTATGCAGGTCAGGAAGCAACAGTTAGAACTAGACACAGAACAACAGACTGGTTCCAAATCGGGAAAAGAGTACATCAAGGCTGTCTATTGTCACCCTGCTTATTTAACTTATATGCAGAGTACATCATGAGAAACGCTGGGCTGGAAGAAGCACAAGCTGGAATCAAGATCGCTGGGAGAAAATATCAATAACCTCAGATACGCAGATGACACCACACTTATGGCAGAATGTGAAGAACTAAAAAGCCTCTTAATGAAAGTGAAAGAGGAGAGTTAAAAAGTTGGCTTAAAGCTCAACATTCAGAAAACAAAGATCATGGCATCTCGTCTCATCACTTCATAGCAAATAGATGGAGAAACAGTGGAAACAGTTGCACACTTAATTTTTTGGGGCTCCAAAATCACTGTAGATGGTGACTGCAGCCATGAAATTAAAAGACGCTTGCTCCTTGGAAGGAAAGTTATGACCAACCTAGACAATATATTAAAAAGTAGAGACATTACTTTGCCAACAAAGGTCCATCTAGTCAAGCCTATGGTTTTTCCAGTGGTCATGTATGGATATGAGAGATGGACTATAAAGAAAGCTGAATGCTGAAGAACTGATGCTTTTCAACTGTGGTATTGGAGAAGACTCTTGAGAGTCCCTTGGACTGCAAGGAGATCCAACCAGTCCATCCTAAAGGAAATCAGTCCTGAATTGGAAGGACTGATGTTGAAGCTGAAACTCCAATACTTTGGTCACCTGATGAGAAGAGCTAACTCATTTGAAAAGACCCTGATGCTGGCAAAGATTGAAGGGAGGAGGAGGAGACGACAGAGGATGAGATGGTTGGATGGCATACTGACTCGATGGACATGAGTTTGGGTAAACTCCGGGAGTTGGTGATGGACAGGGAGGCCTGGCGTGCTGCAGTCAATGAAGTCGCAAAGAGTTGGACACGACTGATCGACTGAACTGAACTGAACTGGACTGAACTGAACTGGTCCACGATATTCTCCAGGCCAGAATACTGGAGTATGTAGTTGTTCCCTTCTCCAAGGGATCTTTCCAACCCAGGGATCAAACCCAGGTTTCCTGCATTGGAGGCAGATTCTTTACCAACTGAGCCACCAGGGAAGCTCCCAACCTGTTTTGTATTACAAAACTGAGGTTAACTTTTTGCAAGGGAGAAATATCAATAACCTCAGAAATTTACATATAAAGGAAATCTCCATCTCGGTATCAGTAAGAGAAGGACAATTCTGTGTCACAAGAGAATCTTTTCAAGGGAGAAAGCAACAACTTACATCTTTTCCTTGTAATCTCTCCATACTGCTTCCTATCCCCAACACTTTTCTTTTGTCTTTAGTTGAAATGGTATTTAACCCAGTGGCTTAGACCATCTAGGGGAGTTACTCACTACTTTCCCCTGGGTATCTCCCAGGTGTACATGAGATATATATGCTAATAAACTTCCTTTAAAAAAAAAAAGCAATGGGTAGAAAAGGTGGCCATACATTGTTCCTCCCAATTCCTATATGAGGAATCTCTTTTGTTGTTATTAAAGTGCATCTATTTTTTTCACAGCATGTATTACCATCTGACTTACTTCGTTTTCATTATTTAGTGGTTTGTCTCTCATTACTCCAGAAGGGCAGAGATCTTAGGTAAAAAAAAGAAACAAAAAACCAAGTACAGCATCTTAAGCAGGTTCCCTGGCGTGTGTTTCCTCCTTCCCTTCTTATTTCTCTTCTTCCTACAAGTATGTATAAGGCACTTACTATGTACCAGGTACTATTCTAAGCACTGGAGCTATAGTGTGGAATAAAACATACAAAAACCTCTGCCCTTATGAAGCAAACAGTCTAGTGGTGAGAGATAGACCATTAAAAAAACACAAAGCATTGTCTTATGGAGATAAGTACTATGGAAAAAAATAAATAAATATACCTTAAAATGCATATTATTAAGTGAAAGAAAACAATCTGAAAAGGTTACATACTGTATGTATTTTGGAAGAGGCAAAATCATGGAGAGAGTGAAAAGATCAGTGGTTGCCAAGTGTTTGGAGGGAAGAGGGAGAGATGAACAGAAGGAACACAGTGAATTTTTAAGGCAGTGGAACTATTCAGTATGATACATATCATTATACATTTGTCAAACTTCATAAAGTATTACACAAAGAATGAGCCCTGATGTAAACTATGGACTTAAGTTCATGTTACCAATATAGTCTCATCATCAAAACAAATATACTTTACTATGGCAAGATATTAATAAATGGGAACCTGGTGGAGGGAAGTAAGGGATATTTGAGAACTCTGCACTCTTTTCACTGTAGACCTGAAACTACTACTAAAAAAAAAAAATCTATTAATTAAAACACACACACACACACACACACACACAGGACAGGAAGTGCAATATGTGTATGTTGGAGGTGATCTGTCATGGGAGTTTAGAGTCTGTGAGATGAGGGGGTGACTTGAGTGTTCTGAGCTTCCTGGGGGGTCAGAGCCACATACTGGGACAAATAGTAAATGAAGGTTAGTGATGACAGCCTCAAGACAGAAAGGTGATGAGAATGTGGGAGGGTGGAGGCTTTCTGGGGCCCCTTCCTGCTAATGCTGATGATGATGCCATGGTGGGGGCAGGCTTATTAATGGCAATAGACTTTATGCTCTCCCACAATCTGCAAAATTCATTGAGATTTCTGGCCTAGAAAACTAGAGAAATATAGCAACCTCCCTGCACTCTCCTCCTTCCTTTTTCAAGTGCTAATTAGTGCTTCAATCTGTTCTTAGTTTTATATTTGATATTTAAGTATTCTGTATGGGAGAGTAACTGTTCCTACCAAGGAAATAGTTCTTGAAGTCTTCACTAATTTGAGCACATCTATGTCGATATGAAGGCAAACGTTCCCAGGAACCATCTTCACATTTCTTCATAAACTGGTCAAAAAGGAGTTTTAGGTCCTTGCTCCAGCTGGGGTTGGGGAGAGCACAGTCCGTATGAATGACTTTCTCAGCAGAAAACAACCTCTAAAAGGAGAAAAAGGAGAGTAAAGGAAGGTACATCTGATTTCATAACATATTCTATTTTCTAAGACTATCTTACTGCTTTTCCTCTTCCCCAAAGCTTGTCATTTTGAAGTGGAAACAAATTTCTAGCCATCACCTGGCCCTCCCTCCTTAGGAGAAATGGGAGATTGAGAGGATAAATGATTTGTTCAAAGTCATCCAACTAGCTAGTGGCAGAGTTGGTATTAAGTCTGCAGAGCCCCTTCTTTTTCTCAAACCTTAATGAAGCACAGGTAAGCTAGAAACTGGTAATAAAGAAAGATGAAAAAAAAATGAAAAAAAAAATAAAGAAAGATGAAGGTCAGACAACTTTTCTCTATGTAAAAGGTGCTACCAGTGGGAAACACACAGGAAGCCAGAGCACAGGGGAGAGGTATTCATCTCAGATTGGGTAATCAGGGAGGGGGTCCTTTGACTTGAATCTTCACTAGATTCAATTAGACAAGCAGAAATCAACCAGACAGAAAGAGTATTGTAGGCAAAGGAATATTGTGTGTAAAGGCAAGGAGACATGAAACAGTTTTGAGGGGCCTTACAACAACCATACGACGTATGTAGTAATTATATCCCCATTTTACAGATGATGAAACTAAGGGCTCAGGACTTACCTGGTGTCCAGTGGTTAAGAGTCTGCCTTCTAATGCAGGGGACTTGGGTTTGATAACTAAAAAGCCACATGCCGAGGGGCAACTATGACAGTGGACTGCAATGAGAAGCCCCGAAATAGTGCACTAGAACTAAGAGAAGCCCTATGTGCTGCAATGAAGACCAGTGCAGTCAACAAATAAGTAAGTAAATAAATAAAAGAAACAAGGCCTCAAGGAAGTTTGGCATTGTTTCAGTACAAGGGGAGGAGCCTGACTGTGAGACGCTTCCACATTAAGTTAACTGGTTTGAATTGTATCTGCAGTGCTCTTGGTGAGATTTTAGACAAGGGAGTGACACGATCAGATTTGGTCATAATATGAAAGATAGTGAGAGTGATTTCAAGATTGGAATTAGAGGGGCTTGTCTGGAAGCTACTGGAGTAACTCAGCTGAAAAATTATGAGTGCAGAAGCAGAACTGGTGACTATTTGGATATAGGAGAGTGAGGGAAGAGGAAAAATACCAGAGTTAATCCCAGGTTTTTGAACTATGTAACAGAGTCGGTGAAAGAGCTAAATGTTCTTTCAGAAAGAGAACAGAAAGCCAACACAAAGAAAGAGGAGGAGGAGGCTGGAGGAGAAAAGCTCTTGGAGTCACAATAACCACAGCTTCCACCAGTGCTATTTCCCTGTAGTGTTCAGCACTGCTACAACACCAGTGCCCACACAGCAGGTGGAAAGGTACAGGGGCCCTGGAGGATGACAAAGTGTCGCTTACAAAGGAGCTGAACAAAGCAAATGTCCACAGGTACCACAAAGGAAAATCAGTTACTGTGACTTGTGCAGAAATCCTAGAACATTAAGAATGCACTTCCAGTCACCTTTATCAAGTCATTCAGATTCAAAGTATCTGCAACACTCGGACTACACCCAGGGTACAGGGAGGTACACTTACTGTGATGAAATAACCAGCCAAACAGGCTTCTGCTGACCTCAGGGTTGGGTCCTGGTCAAATGGTAAGAATTCAGGGAGCCTGTCTTAAGAACTCTATGGAACTAAACACTTCCTAGCTATAAAAAGTCTTGACTTCATGAGGGGAAATATAAGATTGAGACTACTCCACTCCCTAGCCTAGTACTTGTACCTTTGTTTTTTTTTTCCCTATGGTTTTGGATTGGCTTGTCCCTTCAGATTTTCAGCTCAAAAAATTTGGTAAGGAAAGAAAAGAAAAACAAAAAAACTTTAACCCACTTATTATCTCTTCATATTAATATAACTAATGGTAAAATTTTGATATATTTCCTCCAAGTTTTTGTAACTTTTCTCAGTATACTTGTAATCTCAGTAAGAAACATAATTTTTCTTTTACGTCATCACTTAAAATTCTTTAGTGTTGACTTTCTCATGTCCTAATCTGTTATAACCATTTTCAACAGCAGAAAAATAGTCCTTTAAAATGATATACTATACTTTACTCAACCATTTAAATTGTACATGTAAACTGTTTCCAATCTTTTGCTGCTTTAAATGAAAAGGACCGTTGGAACATTATGAATATGGTATTTTCTCTACTTTGGATTATTTCCTTAGAATTTAGTTCCAATCATGTAGTTTTTAAAGTACGTAAATTCTGAAAGTAACATAACAGACACAATTAGTCATAAATTAGTGTGTATTGACCAATACTTGTCAATTGAGAGAAGAGAACGTGTAAGCTTTGGAGTTGTGAATTTGGGTTTACCTCATCTATAGTTTTCATTTAAAATAGAAATCTCTAGGTTTGATCAGTTCTAGCATCCTTTTATGGGCCAGTGCAATAGAGATAATAGAAGACTTTTAGGAATTAGAATGACTCCCTTGATCCTGGGCTCTCCCACCTGACTTTTTAAAATATTTATTTTTAATTGAAGGATAATTACTTTATAATATTGTGTTGGTTTCTGCCATAGATCAACATGAATCAGCCATAGGTATACATATGTTCCCTCTCTTTTGAGCCTCCCTTCCACCTCCTACCCCATCCCATTCCTCTAGGTTGTTACAAAAAGCATGGATTTGAGCTCCATGAATCTTATAGCAAATTACCACTATCTATTTTACATATGATAATGTATATGTTGCAATGTTATTCTCAATTCGTCTCATCCTCTCCTTTCTCTACTGTGTCCACAAGTCTGTTCTTTATGTCTGTGGCTCCTTGGCTGCCCTGCAAATAGGTTCATCAGTACCATCTTTCTAGTTTCCATCTATATGTGTTATTACATATTTGTTTTTCTCTTTCTGACTTACTTCACTCTGTATAATAGGCTCTAGGTTCATCTACCTCATTAGAACTGACTCAAATACATTCCTTTCTATAGCTAAGCAATATTCCATTATTACATGTACCACAGCTTCTTTATCCATTCATCTGTTGATGGACACCAAGGTTGCTTCCATGTCCTGCTGTTATAAATGGTGCTGCAATGAACATTAGCATACATGTGTCTTTTTCAGTCATGGTTTCCTTCAGGGTATATGCCTGATTGCTGGGTCATATGGTAGTTTTATTCCTAGTTTTTTTAGGGAACCTGCATACAGTTCTCCATAGTGTCTGTATCAATTCACATTCCATCAACAGTGCAAGAGGGTTCCTTTTTTCCACACCCTCTCTAGCATTTACTGTTTGTAAATTTTTTTGATGGCCATTCCGACCGGTGAAAGGTGATACTTCATTGTAATTTTGATTTGCATTTCTTTAATAATGAGCAATGTTGAGCATCTTTTCACATGTTTATTAGCCATCTGTATGTCTTCTTTGGAAAAATATTTCTTCAGGTCTTCTGCCCACTTTTTGATTGGATTGTTTGTTTTTCTGGTATGGAGCTGCAATAGCTGTTTTTATATTTTAGAGATTAATCCTTTGTCAGTTGCTTCATTTGCCATTGTTTTCTTCCATTCTGAGGGCTGACTTTTCACCTTGTTTATAGTTTCCTTCAATGTGCAAAAGCTTTTAAGTAGGTCCTATTTATTTATTTTTGTTTTTATTTCCATTACTCTAGGAGGTGGGTCATAGAGGATCTTGCTGTGATTTGTGTCAGAGAGTGTTCTGCCTATGTTTTCCTCTAAGAGTTTTATAGTTTCTAGTCTTACATATAGGTCTTTAATCCCTTTTGAGTTTATTTTTGTGTATGGTGTTAGGAAGTATTTTAATTTCAGTGTTTTATATCTAGCTGGCCTGTTTTCCCAGCACCATTTATTGAAGATATTGTCTTTTCTCAATTGTATATTCTTGCCTCCTTTGTCAAAGATAAGGTGCCTATAGGTAGGTGGATTCATCTCTGGGCTTTCTATCTTGTTCCATCGGTCTATATTTGTTTTTGTTCCAGTACCATACTGTCCTGATGACTGTAGCTTTGTTGTATAGTTTGAAGTCAGGAAGGTTGATTCCTCCAGTTTCATTCTTCAGTATCAGGATTACTTTGGCTATTCAGAGTCTTTTGTGTTTCCATACAAATTGTGAAATTATTTGTCCTAGTTCCATGAAAAATATCATTGGTAGTTTGATAGGAATTGAATTGAATTTACAGATTGCTTCAGGTAGCATAGTCATTTTCACAATATTGAATCTTCCAATCCAAGAACATGATATAGCTCTTCATCTGTTTGTGTCATCTTTGTTTTTTTTCCATCACTGTTTGATAGTTTTCTGCATACTGGTCTTTTGTCTCTTTACAAAGATTTTCCTAGGTATTTTATTCTTTTAGTTGCCATGGTGAATAGGATTGTTTCCTTAATTTATCTTTCTGATTTTTCATTCTTAGTGTATAGGAATGCAAGGGAATTCTGTGTGTTAATTTTATATCCTGTGATATTACTATATTCATTGATTAGCTCTAGTAATTTTCTGGTGGCATCCTTATGGTTCTCTATGTATAGTCTCATTTCATCTGCAAACAGTAAGAATTTTACTTCTTTTTTTTTTTTTTTTTTACTTCTTTTTTTTCTAATCTGGATTTATTTTATTTCCTTTTCTTCTCTGATTGAGAAGCAGCCAGGACTTCCCAAACTACATTGAATAATAGTGGCAAGAGTGGGCACCCTTGTCTTGTTCCTGATTTTAGAGGAAATGCTTTCAGGTTTTCACCATTGAGAATAATGTTTGCGCTGGGTTTGTCATATATGGCATTTATTATGTTGAATATTTTCCTTCCATGCTTGTCATATATGGCCTTTATTATGTTGAATATTTACCTTCCATGCCTACTTTCTGAAGAGTACTTTTTTTTGTATGATAGATGGGTGTTAAATTTTATCAAAAGCTTTCTCTGCATCTGTTGAGATGATCATATGGTTTTTATCTTTCAATCTGTTAATATGGTATATCACATTGAT